GGCCTCTGAGAATTCTGGAAAGGTCCCCAGCTTCATGGTGCACATCACCTGTCACCACAGACGTCATTGTCTTTCTGTCTCAGACACAAGAGCATCTTCCCAGGGACCCTGAGCTCCTGACCCTGACCTCAGGCCCTGAGCCTGAACCTCCCCTCTCCACCTCCGAGGGTGGTGGAGGCTGAATGTGGTGGAGGCCCAGAGAGCTGGTGGCATCTCACTGTCCCCTTACTTGCATTTGGTCCCTAAGTTCAGTCAGAACATTCTAGAAAAACAGGGAGAGACAGAAGATGTCCCTACCCAGGGGCGCGGGGGCAGCTGTGCAGTGAGGACACACCACAGCTGACTGGAGTCTGGACAAGTGGATGTGGCGGGGTGGTCACCTGAGGGCACCAAGCTCAGCCAGGTGAGGATGGAAGTGGCAACCCCAGGCCTCTCCCGGACTAGGACAAAGCTGCCTGTCCACAATGTGGCCACGAGGTGGCAAGGATGGCAGTCCTGCCTCTGCCCCAGCACGAGGCCCGTCTGGACACTTGGTTTGAGAGCAGCCACCCACAGCTGGGCAGGGAGTTGTGTCGACCTGAGCCCAGAGGACCCAATGCCTCCCACGGGAACAGTCTGCACCCAGAGAGTGCCACCACTGGTGATGATGGGGACATGCTGGTGACGCTGTCCATGTCCCCAGAGGAGGTGCGACCCAACGCCTGACCACCCTAAGGCCACACACAGATATTCTGTGCTTCCAAACAGAGTCAAAAAGCCACCTTTGTGGGGACCAGGGACGCCACGGTGGCTGCACACATCACTGAGGATGGGAGGGGAGGGCAAAACCAAAGTCAGACAGAAAATGGGGACAGCGCTACCCATCCCTGTCACGGCTGCATCTGCCAAAGCCAGAGGAGGAGAGGAGCCCCAGCTGACGACGTACCCACGCGCCACAGCACCACTGCCCCCCCACCACCACTGCCTTCCGAGGCACCGCCCAGCATCCTCCCAGGTCCTTGGGCAGGCATGGCTCTCAGAAGAGCAGTGCGCCCATGCTTCCCACCTCTCGCCTCCTGGACAAAGATCTCAAAGGTCTGGGAGATGACAGTGACCTCCAGTAGGATCCCGATCCCACCGCTGACGGGCCCAGGAAGTCAGCCAGGACCCAGAGGGCCCCTACACACAGGCTCAAAAGGCCGCTGCCTTGGCGATGGACCTTGGGGAGGGCAGGCAGTCAGCCCTGGGGCACCACAGAGCCCCCAACTTGGCAACCAGGCTTGCTCATGACTGAGACCAGAACCTCAGGAAGCCCGACCACCTCCCTGGAGCATCATCTGCTAACACCCCTGTGCCTCCACTAATGCTATGGGACCTAGTCCCTGCTAGGGGACTGTGACTAGTCCAAACTGAAAGGCTGCCAGATGCAGTGGTCAACGCCTGTCACCAGAGCAACTCGGGAGGCTGAGGCAGGGGGATCGCAAGGTGGAGGCCAGCCTCAGCTACTTTGCAAGGCCCTAAGCAGCTCAGCAAGACCCTATGTCTAAATAAAATATAAAAATGGCTGTGGACGGGGCTTAGCAGTCTAGTGACCCTGGGTTTGATCCTCAGTACAGGGAGCTGGGGGGCTGGGGACAAGACCCAAATACTGAAGATGTCTCTGAAAATGGCCACTGTCCCTACCAAGAACTAGAAAGCAACATAGGATTTGCAATTGTGGCTTTTCACATGATTGCTTCTTTCAGGAAAAGTCACCAAGTGAGAGCCCACAGGACAACCTGGTCTGCCACCTGACTTTGTAGACACAGCCCTGATCACTGTGGCTGCTACTGAGTTGCAAGGGAAGAGCTGAGAAAATGGTGGAGAGCCCCAGGGAGACCAGAGGCAGCCCTCCATTAAGGACAAGGTGCAGCCGCAGTAGGTGCTCCTCCTGCCCCAGGCACCTGCCACCTGGGGCCTCTCCCCACCCTCCCTCCTCTCCACCAAAAGGTGATGGCCTCAAAGGCCACCTGGCCATGGCCCAGCTGGTCTCTGCCCTCCTCTCTGCTGTGGCCTTGTCCGCTGGCACTGACCTCCCTGCTTCCAACACCACCAGCCCTCTGCGGCTCTGCTGGACTCGCAGCCACAGCCACCATCTGTTTTTTTTTGTTGTTGTTGTTTGTTTGTTTGTTTGTTTTCAGTCTTGGGGATTGAACCCAGGGATGCTCTACCCCTGAGCCACATCACCAGCCCTTTTTTGTATTTTTTTTTTAAAGAAAGAGTGGGAGAGAGAGAGAGAGAGAATGAGAATTTTTTTAATATTTATTTTTTAGTTCTCGGCGGACACAACACCTTTGTTTGTATGTGGTGCTGAGGATCGAACCCGGGCCGAACGCATGCCAGGCGAGCGCGCTACCGCTTGAGCCACATCCCCAGCCCCCCTTTTTTGTATTTTGTATTTCACACATGCCCAGCGGCACCCAGGAGGAACCCTTGCACCTGCCCTCACATGCGTGTCATGGGTTTGACTTTTACTGGAAGCTGCTCATCAGTGGATGTAGGGAAGATGGGTAAGAACAGTGAAAGCCTGGTATGTGGCTCCTACCCAGCCTCACACTGGACTAGTGTCTCTGTTTAGAGGAGAGGGGACCCACTGTATAATCACCCAGGAACAGCTGAGAGCATAGCCCACCTAGGTGATGCTCTAAGTCATGTGCACACCAATCACACTAATTTTTTTTCTGGAAGCTGATTATTTCAATAAAACTAATTCACAGTCTTCCTGGAGACCTGGTGGCTACAGGAACACTGTGGGCTGCCCTCCATCTGTTCATTCATGGGAACATGCAGGTTAGAAGCCATGTTCCCTCTGCTGTGAGGTTGAAACTCTGATGGGGGACAGGATGCTAATGAGTAAGTGAATCATAAGGGATGTTAGTGAGAAGTACCACAAGAATGAGGAGAGAGACTGGGAAGGGGCATTGAGAGAATGGAAATAGCAGACGGAGACAAACCCGATGGAAAATTTGGCATGTGAGCAGAAGCTAGCTTCTGTGTGAGAAATGTGTCCATCATGCAGAACGCATGGCTGGCTCCAAGACTGGAGTGAAAGAGGACCTCGAGTGCTCTGGGGAAGCTCTGGAAACCACGTGGCTAGTCCAGATGGCTGAAGGAGAAGGGAGGTGGAGGGACAGAGGAAGGGCAGGTGGAGGGGAAGAGAAAGGGCAAGAGGAGGGACAGGTGGAGGGGCAGTGAGGGGCAGGTGGAGGGACAGATGAAGAGGCAGTGCAAGGACAGATGAAGGGGCAGAGGAAGGGTAGGTGGAGGGGAAGGTGAAGGGGCAAAGGAAGGGCAAGTGGAGGGGCAGAAGAGGAGCAGGTGGAGGGGCAGAGGAGGGGCAGGTGAAGGGGCAGTTAGAGGAGCAGGTGAAAGGGCAGAGGAAGGGCAGGTGGAGTGAAAGGAGGGGCAGGTAGAGGAAGAGTTGTGACCCTCTGGGGCAACACTCTGAGGACAAGGGCAGTGTTGCCTTTCACAGGAGGAGAGTGGGGGGCTTGCTGGGTTTGAGCAGAGGACACCCATGATGGGACCCATCAGGTCCCAAAGGTCCACACTGGCTGCACACAGGCCTCAGGGGCAGAGGTTGGCCAGGGAGTGCAGTCATGAGGCTCCTGCACGACCTGGGGGGCAGCTGGCCAGGTGAGAGGTGGACCCCTTTCCTGCTGCTGCTGTAACCAATCAGACAAGCTCCTGGCTGAATAGCAGGGATTTCTTCTCCAAGAGCTAGAGGTCAGAAGTTTTGAGACAGTGTGGGTAGTGCTGTGCTCCCTCCCCAGACTCCAGAGTGGGACCATTCCCTGAGTTTTCCCTGTTTCTGAGGCTGCCTAAAGCTCTGCCGGGTGGACCCTTCTTTCATCTGCAAAACAGCAGGGTCTCATCTTCAGATTCCTCTCTGTCATCTCGTCCCTGCCACCCCATCTCCTGTTATCATTATCTCACCCCTTCTCTGGCTCTGGTCTCTGAGGCCCACTGTGAGCCCCCAGGTGACTCACAATCTTCTACCCACATCAGGAACCTTAGTCAAATTCTCAAAGCCCCTTTTCTGTGGGAGATTACATGTTCCCAGGTCCCAAGTAAGGTGAGAGGTTTTGGGAGGTCATGGATCAGAATCTGGACAGATTTGAGAGTGAAGCCAAAGGATTTCCAGACTTGTTGGACATGGGGTAAGATGAAGCAAAAGACCACAGACAGCCAAGGGGTGACAACTGGAGCAACAGGAAGAATGGAGAAACAATTTTTGCAGAGGCATCGGCAGTGGGAGGAATGGAGGGACCCAGTACCATTTGGGATGCTGCTGAGGGTGGCCTGGGCAGCTCTGGGAAGAGCATGGTCATTGGGGATTTCCCATGCTGTGGGTCCCCTGGAGCCTGCTCAGGGAGAAGGCTATTGGTACCCAGGGGAGGAACATGCCACTGGGACGTGGGAGGGCTGGTGACATTCACTGGGGTTTCACAGGAAAAAAAAAAAAAAAAAAACAGAGACTTTTTAAAAAGCCAGAGTTCTCAGTTGAGTGGCCAGGGACTAGAATCTATAGCAATTTGGACATGAATATTAATGGCACGTTGTCCACTGTGAAAGATTTGTGGAAGATAAGTGTGTGTGTGTGTGTGTGTGTGTGCAAGTTATGACTTCAGCTATACTAAGAGTAGTATAAAAAAAAGATTTTTAAAATTACTCCCCCAAATATATATTCAATGCTTATCTCTGAGAGGCAAGATTTGGAGTGATTTATGCTCATTTCCTAAATAACCCACAGCATGCAATATTGAAGGTGTATTCCCTGAGACAAACACATCAGATGGAGATGACATTACCCAAATAGAAAAAATCTTACCTGGGCATGAACAATGGTTCCTACTTACCAATTGAATCCTCCCCAAAACAGAATGCATTTTATTCTTTGAAACTAGGGGTCCATTTAAGGATCAAATAATTTAACATTTGTGTATTAGTTGAGGTGGGTTTTGCTATAGGTAATTAAGCATGACCACAGTAGCTCAAATAACAACCACTTATATTCTTTATATACTGAGATGCTTGGGGATAGATCCTTTTAACATTGGCTTAGGTCTCAATAATGTCTACAGTAAGGCTTTTGATTCTTCAGCCCTTTGGCTCACGGTCACAATTTGGCTGCTGCAGCTCTCACCATCATAGCTATTTCAAGGCAAGAAAAAGGGGAAAGAGAAAAGAGGGTGTAAGAATCAGCAAATCAAATGCCTTTTTAAATATCATAAGAAGAGTTTTATTTCTATTTCATTGGCTAGCCTTTGGCCAGTGCAACAAAAATATGACCAAAGAGAAGGGTTAAATAATAAATGCTGTATTATCAAATAACCACTTTGTTCCACCCTGAAAAATCAAGCACTGTACCTGGCCATGGGAAGTAATCTGGAAATGTTGTCCACTAGTACTTTCAGATTTTTAATAATGAGTGACCTTGAAGGAAGTACTGGGGCTCCATGTTTAAGAGTAGTTGTCTGTGTTGTGTGTCCCAGGGCAGCTGGCCTGTTTCTTTTCCAGCCACCAACACCTGACAGGGCAGGTGCTGTTCAAGCCGCTCATGCCTCACTTATCAGCAGAAGCCAAGCCCAGTGAGTCCAGCTGCATATACAGGCTGGGGACACCTGAGGTCACTGACCAGAAACCTAATGGTCAATAAAGGCTCCTCAAGGCACCTCCATCATTAGGCTCAGTGGACATGAGTGTCTGTGCAGACAGATGGCAGAGCACCACCACCACCTGCACACCAGCCAGCATCAGTCAGCAGTCATGTGTGTGGGCACCACCTGGCCCAGCCATCATCCCTGGCAATTGTGCCAGCCCCCAGTGGCCCCAGGCCTCGACCAGAGCAGACGTCCAGCATGGCCAATCAGCCCTGTGCCACTTTCTCAGGAAGCCTCACAACACCACTGCCCCAGGGATCAATGTTGGTCAGCAGAGCCCCAAGTGGCCATGAGACCCTGCGTGATGCCACCAGTTCACACTCCCACCTCCCCTTGGGTCCCCCCTTCTGTGGTCACATGGGGCTACTCATTGGATCCCAGCTATGCTCACATCAAGAGAGGGTCCTAGTTGATGTGAGGGCACACTGGTGGAGAAGGCTTGCTTTGGCATATGCTAGCACACACTGTAATAAAAGCCACCGAGTTGTGACACTTCTGAGCTATTCATCACTCATGGCAGCTAGACTCAGTGTTGATGAAGAGGCAGGTGCCAGAGGATGGGAAGAGGCCCTGAGTCACCTGGGCTGTGACCTTACCCCAGAGCATGGAAGAAGAAAGAGAGGGAGGGAGGGGCCAATACTCGTGGGGTACCAGGAATTTCAGGAGGCTGAGGCATGGATGGCTGACCTGCAGAGCACTTAAGTGCAAGGTCATTAGCTTCAGGGCCCCAGGCCTGTGCAGCTGGGGGTGAAGGATTTCTTCTGTACTCACCACCATCCTGCCAGCCATGGGAAGTCCCTGCTCTCCTTCCCCAAGACAGAGTCAGCAGCACTGAGTGGTGTCACAGGACGAGTTACACCACATCACCCACCCCTGATCAAGATGGATGGTGATGGACCCTCCCCAGTGAACCTGTCAGAAGCTGAAAGGTGGACACGCATGCACACACACACACACACCTTTCCTCAACCTACTCCATCCCATTAAACACAAGTCCACCTGTGAGTCACTTGGGTAGAAGTCTGGGATAACCTCTAACTCTTTTTCCCCCTCCCATGTGTGATCTCTTGAAATTGCTGGATCCTCCATAGCCACCATACTACTCTGCCAGGTCGTCTATCTTTCCAGCCATTGCATGGGACTCCTGATGGCTATTTCTGCTCTGCACCTAGTCCTGCATCCTGCAATCTGCTCTCCATCCACAGCCAGAGAAACCTGGTGACACCAGACATCATGCCTGGCCTCATTGTTCAACGGCTAGTTCAATGAGCACTGTTTAATGCCCTCATGTCCATTCCACCTGGAGAGAGACCATGGTCCTCACAGAGCCTGGGAAGCCCTGCAGCTCTCCCCACCCCACATGGCCTTGCTCACCCACCAGCCTTGCTCACCTCCCCACTTTCCAGCTATGCACCAGGCCCACCTCAGGGCATTTGCACAGGAAGTTCCCCCTGAGATCCAGGCTCAGTCCTTCACCTGTCAGGCTTCTTTCAGGAGTTACTTTGTCAGACTGGCAAAAGCCATCTACCTAAAGCTATAAGCCCCTCCCCTTCTAAAGCCCCAGGCTGCCTAATTCTCATTATACACCTACATTAAAGTTCTCTAGGGCTGGGGATGTGGCTCAAGCGGTAGCGTGCTCGCCTGGCATGCGTGCGGCCTAGGTTCGATCCTCAGCACCACATACAAACAAAGATGTTGTGTCCGCCGAAAACTGAAAAATAAATATTAAAAAATTCTCTCTCTCTCTCTCTCTGTCTCTTTAAAAAAAAAATTTAAAAAAAAGTTCTCTAGCACTTACAATATGATGTCCCAGCTAGACTGTAAGCACCATGAGGACAGGGACTTCTAACTCTTTCATTCAATGCCTTATTCCAGGAGTAAATCTACATAAGTATAAATGACCTCTCTAGTCACTCTGCTATGCCCTGCCGGGCCTCAGAACCCAGCCAAAGAAAGATTCAAAGTCCCTTTAATGACCCAAAACTGAATTTCTAGAAACTCAGAGAGCATCTGGAAACATTTACCTCCAGAATCAAAGGAGCCCTCTTGATCCTCTACTCCTCAAAGGTACTTGTTGCCCCAGTATTTCTACTTTATGGCTTATTGGGGGACTCTGAATCCCATGATTTCAACCAAGGGTGCTTAATTTCTCTGCCCCTCTGCTTCTTCCAACTTCCCTTTCCTGTTGGCTTGTCAAAGACCCTGTATTGTGTGTCCTCTTCCCTCCCCACACATCGCCCAGGCATTGCCCATGGGTCCATTACTACTAATCACCAAGACATTTTTCTAATGTCCAGAAAATTCTGTGAGTGTAATGAGGATTTTGCATTGGGGAGAAAATACCTGAAAACCACATATCTGACAAAGGATTTATATCCAGAATATGTAAAGAGCTCCATGATCCACAAACCATCAAAGACAACCTAGCTGCAAACAGCAAAATATCTGAACAGGTCTTTTTCTTTAAAAGCTGAGAAGCTGATCATGACTGTGTGTGTTCAGCTTGTTAGTTACTGGGGGAAAACGTGATGAAAACTACTTCACATCTCTGAGAGAGACTGGGATCTGACACCTGGCAACCCTGGGTGTGGGGGAGGTGGGGAGCAATGGGGGCCCTCAGGGCTGCTGGTTGAATGACAAGTTCTACAATTACTTTGGAAAACATTTGGACAATTCCTCAAAAAGCTAAACATAATGTTAGCCTATGACCCGAAAGGGCCACTTCTCACCAGCTCCTCAACAGAACTGAAAACAAATGTTCAAGTCAGCATTCTTCATCCCACCCAGAGGTGGCCTTTGAGCACACCCGCTGGTATGGTGATGAGCCTCAGAGGGTCATCCAGGTGACAGAAAATGGCCAGACCATAATGTAGAAGAACATAGTGACCCTTGGAAATGTTGCACTAAAGGAAAACAGCCACACACAGAAGGCCACATGCTTGCCACAGAAGTGCCCGCAGTGACAAAAATCCATGCAGACAGAGCAGAAGTTGTGGGGCTGAGGGTCAGGGAGGCCCAGGAGTGACAGTTACTGGGGTTGCAGGAATATTCTCAAATCTGACAGCGCTGATGGTTGTGCTTTTTTGTAAAATGGCAACAACCCATCCATCATAAGTGTCCCAAGCACCTATGCATCCTGGCCATGAGAGGCAAGAGGAAACCTAGGACAGGAGCTTTTTAAGTTAGGAGAACTCATTATTATTTTTTGTTTGTTTAATTAGTTAGACATAACAGTACAATACATTTGAATCAGATGGGATATAATTTCTCTTTATTCCGAGAGTACAGGTTGCAGAATCACATTGGTCGTGCAGTCACACATATACATACAGCAATAATAATGTCTATTTCATTCTACTATCCTTTCTATCCCCACTTCCCCTCCCTTCCTGTCCCATCACTTCTTTCTGCAAAATCTAAGGTGACGCAATTCTTTTTTTTCCCCTCATATCATCATACATGTATTTTGAGGGTCTCCTTCCATCTTCAATGCAATTCCCCTTCTCCCTTCCTTTCCCTCCCACCTCTATTCCCTATCTAGAGGTAATCTTCTTCTTATGCTCTTCCTCCCTATCCCATTTTGAGTCACCCCCCCCCTTATATCAGAGAAGACATTTGGCATTTCTAGGAGGGGGATTGTCTAACTTCACTTTGCATAATCTGCTTTAAGGCCATCCATTTCCCTGTGAATGCCATGATCTTGTCATTTTTTTATTTCTGAGTAATATTCCATTGTGTATAAATTCCACATTTTCTTTATCCATTCATCTATTGAAGGGCATTTAGGTTGGCTCCACAGTCTAGCTATTATGAATTGTGCTGCTGTAAACATTGATGTAGCTGTGTCCCTGTAGTATGCTGTTTTTAGGTCTTTTGGGAATAGTCTGAGAAGAGGAATAGCTGGGTCAAATGGTGGTCCCATTCCCACTTTCCAAGGAATCTCCATACTGCTTTCCAAATTGGCTGCACCAATTTGCAGGCCCACCAGCAATGTATGAGTGTACTTTTTCCCGCATCCTCGACAGCACTTGTTTGAATTCCTAATGACTGCCATTCTTACTGGAGTGAGATGGTATCTTAGAGTAGTTTTAATTTGCATTTCTGATTGCTACAGATGTTGAGCATTTTTTCGTGTATTTGTTGATTGATTGTATATCCTCTTCTGAGAAGTGTCTGTTCAGGTCCTTGGCCCATTTGTTGATTGGGTTATTTGGTACTTGGTGTTTAACTTTTTGAGTTCTTTGTATACCCTAGAGATTAGAGCACTGTCTGATGAACTTGTCATTTTCTATGTCCTCACACAGGGATGAAGTGTGGCCAACAGGAGATTGGAGGCCACCAATATTCTACCCTTGTTTTTCCCTTGTTGAACGTCGCCAGAGCCACCATTCACCCTCCCATGCCACAGAACAACCCTGTCATCAGAATGTTTATTCATCACTAGGAATGCACCTCAGGCCCTGACTTGGAAGGACCACTCACCACCAGTCC